ATTTATGTTTAAAGATGTAAAATAAAATAATGACTAATTTTTATTTTGAATTCATATGCCGAACAACTTGTTTCGTTAAATCTCACATTTTATTGTCTAAAGTTTTTAAATAAACTTGTATAAGATCGAATATTTGTCATGTTATGTCTCAGTAAATAGATTTATAATTTAAATCATCATGCATTATTATTGTTTTTTTGGGTTATTATAATGAGTGACGAGTCTTGCTAACGTATATATATCCTTAAATCGTGAATAAATATTAATTGTAGAATAATAGTATTATAATATTATAAATACCATTTGGTCGGAGAACCATCAGTGGTGTCCCTTGAGACCTAGGCCAACCGCGAACAGTGCAAAAAAGAAGCCGGCAAAGCCAGTGGTAGCTACGATCAGCACCAGTCCACCCAACATCAGCGGAACGAGCGTGAAGAATTTAAGTTTGTACGCCAACAGTAGCGGCAACATGAACTTCTTCAGTTTTTTGAAATCCTTCACCTTGAACGGCTTGTGCTTTTTGCCTTTCTTTTTCCGTCTTCGTTTCTTTTTGACGATCGCCGGCTTCTCGTCTCCGTAATCTACGAAAAATCACACAATAGYAATAAAAAAAATCACACGAAATACTGCCAATTTTAATCGTAATATGATATTCTGATGCAATTATAACTGATGAAATATGAAAACTATGCTGGATTTTAAACAATAGGTTTTTYGAAAAACATTGGTAGAATGAAACCAAACCTAACCATGTATAGGCACGTTTATATCTGGCTGACATCCACTATGATGTTTGGGAGATGATTAAGACAAAGAATTTTAACTATATACCCAATAATATTACCTTCACGTATATGTACGTATTTTCATATCGTCGATGCCTAACGCAATCGCTAATCCGATTTTGATTTATAAACGGGCCGAAAATAAAACACATGTCTTGWATTATATACACACAAATCTATATTATATTATATTTTACATAATATAATACATATATATATATATTATATAGCCAGAAAGGTATTAAAGGTATTATAAATGCATAAAATCGCATTTAAACAAACAATAAGTGTGCTACTCTACGCGAGATCTTTGCCCATCTCGGTATTATTCTATACCACCTGCAGCACGAATGATGACCGTAATTATTCATCACTTACGATGGAATTTATTCTTTTAATATTCACTGGGGCCACCAATATGCAGCGTCATTGCAGCGACGTCTTTCAGAAATCTAGTAAAACAGTATACCTACTCTAAATAAAAACGTTTGAATTCGATTTGCACCGCGCATTATGGAAGATGATTTTAGAAAGTAGACTCATCGTCAACTTGCACGCGAGTTTAATCATCGTCGACTTATAAGTCGATTTATCATTCGCTTATTCGGCTATGAATGATCACATCTATGCTTACACATATTACAATAATATTATATAATTGCCATCACTAAAACGTCGACCTAGGTATTTGCAGTGTTTAGAAGCCTTATACTTAAGTTTTTCGTTGTAGGCTCAAYCTAATCCACGGGGTATGCTGCACGAAAAGACAAACGTTAATATTAATARTATTAAACGATATGACCCCAACCGATGTGACGCGTATTGGAAAAATGGYTTGAACAATTRGAAAACAAATCTCTTCTCGTTTATATGTATTTTTGGTTTCRCTCTCTGACGTTGTAGCTGAACTTTTCTTGGTAATTTGTAGTTCTTGGGGGATGAAGCACCATCGAAATCATAACTCCTATAGCACTAACACATCTGCACGTTCGATGGTGGTCAACGTTTAACGATTTTTAGACCAAGAGAGGCAATCGACCGCGGGTAATACGCGTATCCCGGCAAAAAAACACTTAAGTCGATACGTGCTTTTTCTCCACACACAATATAATAAAAATATAYTAAACAAATATAATAAACCATTCCCAAATGAACCATTATGTTAAACACACGAGTTTATCGAATCAGCAGCGTGTCCACGGTCGAAACCACAACTCGATATCGTGCAGTTAACGAACAGCGTACACATTTAATGGGTATAATAATATTGTTTTCTTTTAGCGGCTATATCAGTAATGACAATTTGAATGGATTTCAAGCCGAGCAATTGAAAGTAAATATCGTCYGACGTTTTTTCGCATCAGATGCAATTTGTCGGATGAACGCCCCCCCGATGAAGTCATCCGTAACGTCATAAACTCCAGATTATGGCTTTATATAAAATATAATGACTATAATATGTCTATATTTAGGTATTTCTGAAGATAAAACCATCATAATATTGTAACGTATAAAATKATTATGTGTCACTCGTTTTGAAATTGAGTGTTGACAACTTTTGGGAAAGATATTTTTCAACTACATAAAAAATTAAACCCGTCTACAGTAGACGAATTATATACTCACTGTCGGAAGAATCGATGTGTTGGACCTCAACTATCTCTTCGATCTCTTCTTCCTCGCCCTTGTCCTCGTGATCATCGTCGTCATCCACTTCGTATTCATCTTCGTCGTCGTCATCGTCGTCGTCGTCGTCGTCGTCATCGTCGTCCTCGTACTGCCTGACCCGTTTAGAGGTCACCTCCTCCGTACCGACAGTCGGTCGTGCGGTGGACAGGCGGGGTGGTGGGAAAGTAATGGTGATCATCGGCTTGGTGGTGCTCATTATCGGCTGATACCTGAACGGTATGTCCCGGCGGACATCTTGCGTGCTGGTGGCCACCACGGACTTGGCAGTGGTCGTGGTCGCGGACTTTGTCGGCGGATGTGACGACGGTAGTCGCGGCGGAGGGTGTGTGACGGATATCTGGGTCCAAGACTTGCCCAAAGCTGTGGGCATAACAGGCGTAGACGCTAAGGGCGGGCTGGCATCGGGGGACGGGGGGTTGGGGACCCTCATGATGATGCCCGACGTCTCGGTGGTGTGCGGCGTCGACTGGCCGGCCACGTGCTTCTGGACGACCAGTCCGAATTTGGACCAGACGCCCGTGGCCGTGGCGTCCGCTTCGGGCTGAATGGCCGCAGATCCACCGTCGAGCGCGGGCTGAACCCGATCGGTGGCGGTCAGCAGCAACGCCAGTACCAGAACGAGCGGCGACATCGCAGCACTCATTGTCGCGAGCGGTCGGTCACGGCCGTTGCTGTCGGCGATTCGTTTCGGACGACATGTTAGCGTTAACGGCGGCGCAATAAAATTGTGCGCGGGAAGCGGACGAGAACAAACCGTTGGGCGGCGGTGATGCACAGCAAGATCGTTCCGACACCGGACTGGCCGACGTCTTCGGCGCGGCCCGCCGACGTCGGAAAATCGCTTTTCCCCCTCCCCACCGACGTCTGTATCCCACCACTAATCAGAAGATCGCCAACGCCACCGCCGCCGCAGCCGTCGTCGTCGTTTTGCCGGTCCAACGGCTTATTGCGTTTCGATGGTTAGCGCCGCGACGAGAAGACAGACACCACACGCTCCACACCACCTCCCCTGCCACCAACATCACTACTGTCGCCATCGTTATGACGATAAACAATAATAATAATGTGATATCTACTCCTCTTCAACGACGACAGTAATAGTACCTATGACCGTATTTTAGCCGTGTCGTACCTATGATAAAAAATATGTGTGTCTKTATAATAATAATATTATGATATGTACAATACCAATATCTGGTCATACACAAACACACACACATTATTGTTTGTCGCGCGAAACCGACCGATCGGTGTTAATAGCTATTTTCACGGTCTACACAYTCACACGCACAATCTGTATATTATTATTAACACTACTATCATCATCAACATCATCACCATCATCATCGTCATCATCGTCGTCGTCGTCACCATCATTATCGACGACAGTTCCACATGATAATACAGTGGACCGATTCCAATTAAAAAAAAAAAAAGTCCAAACGAATGTAAAACCGAAAATAATTATTATTACCACACGAATACAATATTATTATTATTATTATTATAGATTCAATATTTTTTTCTGATATTTTTATTTGGGTCGAATCGTAACGATTTTCATATTGTTCTCGTCTGACGATCTATTTTTTGTATAACGCCGATGGCTGTATTATGAGAATTTTAATTGTCCAGGTGCCGTGTCGTCATCGGGTTTTTTTAGAGGCGCACACATTGTATCTTTAGATTATATTTGTTGTGCCTACCTCTACAATATTAGATCTGTTTTCGCGACTATTTTGATCTCTTCAATAATAATATATTAAAATTACGGTACTTTAAGTACCTTTCTACTTAATTCCAAAATAGTAATGAAGATGTAGGTACAGAACAAAAGGTAAGCGCAAACTGTAATATTTGTGTCTATGCCTAGTTCTATTTAAAAATATTCACCTAAAAAATTAATAGGCCCTGGAGTCTCTATTTCTAAACAACGTCTTTAAATCCAAACAGTTGGTGGTAAGAAAAACAAAAAAACAATAATGCATATTCTACGTCAGACCCGCAGTATTGAAATAAACGAATGCCACATGGAAAACAACTTGGATGAAGACAAATTACCCATATATTTGAAAAAAGGGCTTAGGAAAATGTATKACCCTATGTTTAACAATATAGAACAGAAAATATAATATTATCATTTAAAGGCTAATGGTTAATTATATCAGCTATACAAAAGAGGAAATGTGATTCAATTCATGATATATTGGTAGGGACGAGGATAGAATGTGCAGGTAATGTACTCGTATATCAGGCTGATAAAAACTTATTAAAAGATGCGCTGATAGATATTTTTTAATTTTTTTTTTATTGTAATAAAAGGCTTCAACATCCCAGGTCATTAACCTAATAGTAATTACAAGTTAATAATATTATGGGGAGATATTTCTATAAAAGGGGTCGTAAAATATATTATGTACATTTTTTTTTTCATTAATTTTGATAAGCCTATATTTGTGAAAAAAAAAATATATATGCTGATAGATATTATAAGCAAAAAATGACCAAGTAGAAAATGGAAACCGCAAATACGATCAAAGGACAGCGTCAAGAACCTACTAGAAGGAATTAGAGTGGATTGGAAACAGGTATATGATGGAACGCGATTGAAGGAAATAGTTTTGGTTACTAAGAATTAAAATGGCTCGTTAATCCTAAGAAAAATGTAAATTTTTAATAATAACTGCATAATATCCCTAACGGGTTAACTTATTTTATTTATTTATTCGTCTTATTCAGTATTATTCGATGGTTTTCGCTGGCTTCGTACTACTTACACTTTGGASTAATGTATTTTAATAACCATAATATTATGATACATGTACATACGAACAGAAATTTTTATTATTTCACGGTAGTGTTTTTCGAAATATAATACGTATACATAAACATACAATGATAAAGATTCAATTATAATCTAACGAAAAAGTTGTTCTTCACAAATTATTTACCACGGATCATTACAATATTT